CAAAAACACAACATCCCCAGATTTCTCCGCCGCCAAATAGCTAAACTTAAGGGAGCAATCAGTCAGAGAACACACTAACAATTTGGTATCAAACAAACGACGAAGAGGTCAAGAATGTTTGACGAAACGACGATGAAAAAAAAAAAGTCAAACCGGGAAATTTTTTGAAGACAATCGATCAACGAAAAAATCTGAGAGAGAATTGAAAAACCTTGACAACGATACGCCTAACGTCCTTGGCGAAAGCGCGGGAACGATCAGTCTCCTCCATAGTTGTCTATCAAAACCCAGAGAGGACGAGTCAGCTCAGCCGGACTCAGTCACCACTACGACGAGGAATGTGAGAATTGTGAATAAGGGATAATCCGGTGGGGAGATCAAGTGGGAAGAGAAGCGAATGGGTTTTTAATAGCGTTAACGCAGATATGAAAAATAGTAAAACATACCCTTTTACTTTGTCAACAATTAAGTAATCATACCCAAGTTTTTTATATAGTGTCTAAACCCAGATTTTTATATATTTGCCAAATTTAATGTAAACGGCCTAATTCTTTATACATTCACGAAATGATTAAGGTTAACTTTCTAAACTAATCTAAACTAAAATCATTTTCAGATATTGATCGGAAGAAGAAAAAAAAAACAAAAATATTTACAAATATCAACAACTTTTCAGATAAAACAAAACTGATTTTTCTTGTAATCAGATATTCATTACTTCAAAAAGAAATGTTTAATACTCTGATTAGTCAAACAAGATTTTCGGTTCTTGATCACAGTTGGTCTTCTAACAAAATGAAAAATTGTCTGCATGATTAGTTTGTTGTGGATTGAGACGATAACAAATTATCCGTAACCACCATGTAATCATTTGTTCAATTACTCATTAATAAAACAAAAATCATAAATTTCAGTAGTAATGCTATGTGTCACAATTGTGATTATTAATTTGAGAACTCTTTTGTCGTATATAGTTTTAGTTATATGCCTTGTATATAAATTAAAAAGAACTGATGTAAATCGCAATTTACGGTCGAGTTGTTTTCAAATTCCTTGTAATTATGTCGAAATTTTAGTATTTTACTTCACTAAATTTTGTAACAAATTTGTAACAAATTTTATAATAATTTAATAATCTCTTTCATCTAATATTTCTGGAATTGCGGGTTGTAAAATCTGTTATAAAAAAAACGTAATTCATGTTTTTAAACTAAATTTCGAAACACATGGCGCCACGTGAGGAGTGAAGGCTCCCGCATCTAGATACTGATTGATGACGTGGCGGTCGTGCAGGGTAAAAAAGCTAGGGTGGGGCGCAGTGGATCAGCTCTCGGGTGGTGGGGATATTTTGGGTAATAAAAAAAATTGGCGGCTGAGAGAGCACCGTGAACGTGAACAACACAAAGACAGGACAGCAAAGCAGGTTTACTTGATATCTCATGAAACAATTAAAAAATTCAATATTCATACGCGGCGCCATAACAATTTCTTTATAATTTGTTATCGTTAAGTCCAAAAATTCATATGATTTGGACATTTTATATGTTTATTATTACTCATCAAGCGAAATAAAAAATCATAAGCACTAAAAATATCATAACAATCACTTGTTTCAATAATTTTTTAAAAATAATAATACAAGAGGAACCGAGCTAGTAGAAGAGTCAAAAAACATATAAGGACATCTGAAATTCTACAGTTTAGCTAGTCAAAATAATACTACAGTTTAGCTAGTCAAAATAATATTACAGTTTAAATTACTATAAATTATAAAATGGTGAAAAAAACTAATTGGCTTTACTCATATGAGATATTATTAGTCAAATTTCGGTCTCATCTCTTGTTCTCTAAACGGAAAGAAAAAAAAAACATTGTCTGTAGTTATTGATAGATTTCACGGTAATGTCTAATGTGTAATTGAACTAAATGTCAGTTGCCTCCTAATTTTTGTTTAATCTATAAACCCTTTAATAGTTCTTAATGTCCAAACACTCTCCAACTACGTGGCTCGGGTCTATTTGACCAATAATCTTTTTGGGGGCAATCAATTTTGTCTCTTCATGTTGTTTAATACTCCTTTGAAACCTCTATTTTTTACACACAAAATAAAATCTTATCCCGTATTTTTATAAAATACTCGTACGAACTTCGCTAAAACGTCTAACTATTGTTTATTTTCGATTTGAAAGAGAAATATTCATAAACACATGAAAAGTTATGCGACACGTGTTGTCCTCTATGATTGTTGTTGTAGATCAAACAGTATGGGTAGTATGGTTTATCGAACAATTGCACAAATCTCTCTCGTCAATCATCAATACATACGTGATCTCCAACTTCTGTCCAATCTCTATCACTTTTTTAACAATACTCATAAACGATTTCACACGGCAGTAAAATAATCACAAAATATAGATATATATTCCACATTACTAATAATGATTTTCATTCGCAGTCTTCTTCTTTCTTTTAAATAATTTTGTCAGTGTTATATATATTTTTTTCGTCTCTAGCTTTTTACTAGTCTAGAGCCGAAAGTCTCGAGAGACTAACATGCTTATTACTACTTTTGTATTTCCTTTCAATTATGTAAAAGGGGATTTTATGAGAAAAAAAGAGTTTCGTTCTTCTTTGTGCGGTTATAAATTTTCCGTTTTTTAATATAGGGACGTTGTGAAAAAAAAAAAAAAAAAAAAAGTATGTGCTTACATGTCAAGTGCATAACCTTTACTAATTGAAAAAATATAATAAAAGATCTGCATGTGTGACGTACTGACGTGTCTATACGCTGAATATTGGATCACGTTCCTTAACCACAAATAGAGTTCGAAGAAGGTAGTGTCGTAATCTGACACATAGTTTTCTTCTCTGGATCATGCAAAATAATTCGGCCGACGCGTAAAAGGGAAAGAAACCAAACGATTATTTCTGAAGATAGGAGTTACGTATTTGTGAAATTTAACATTATAGTAGAAGTTCATTCGTGGGGTCAAATAATGTCGACTTCCATTAATACCACAGTTCAATTTTATGAATTCGGTAGAAATGGCCGACATCATCGTATTTGTAGTCTGACAACTTCATCTTGTTAGGGTAACGTTCACGGTTGATCTTTTTTTTTTTGGTATATGACAATATTAATAAATAAAATATTGACTAATATATTCACGGGAAAACAAGTTGTATATATAGTAGGCTTGTAGCATATCCGTAGGATGGTTTCAACTCAGTCTGCTTCTAATTTCCGTGTAAAATAATTAAATAGGGTTCTTGGACCCATTTAATTAGCAGGAAAGAATTTTAAAAGAAGATGAATCTGATTGGTGCAGCTTGATTTCAATTGTTGAAATGTTAGATTATACAACAAAGAGAAGAAATGTCTCACAAGTCACAGCGAGCTTCAATTCCAAATGTGGAGTAGTCGAAGTGCCATCACGTTCGGAGACTACAATACAAAAACTATACAAGCAAACAAGAAGTTACATTCATCCTATATATCTTTTATCTTTCTTTTTCTCTTTTCTTCACACCAACCGAGAAAAATCGTCGACGCTTTAAAATACGTGGTGACAAGATCACGCATAATTAAAAACAAATTTGTTATCACTGTGCTTCTAATTATTATCACTGTGCTTCTAATTATTATCACGAGAAAAATTGAAGAAGAAAATCTAAAGAATCATTATCACTGTGCTTCTAATTAAAAACAAATTTGTTCATTAAAAGTGAAGAGTGACATGTCGACAAGGAAAAAAATAGGTTAATATGTGTAATTGACCGACGAAGGACCCCCGACACTTGACGATATAATTCTGAAATTATTCGACGTTCCTTTCTTGGACAATTCTATCTACTATGTGGATAATAATAATAGTTTCATGACCATCAGTTTTATTCATTTGTGGTGTTTATGAAAGAAAATGTAATATACGTAGTTTATAGTAAACATAAAGTATAGACAAATACGATAAAGTTTATATCTACAGAGAAAAGGAAACCAGTAAAGTAATTAACATAAAAGACAAGAAAAGTTCAAAACTATGGAAGAGAAAGAACATTGAAGAATATATAAAGTATCAAAAAGATTTAGAAAGAAAAACTAATATCTTCTTTTTTTTCTTTGTAAATATCTTGTAGATAAAAAGGAGACAATTAAACTACTACAGATTTTAGGAAGGAATTTCAATTTTTCTTGATTTTATATATTCTGCACGCTTAAAATACAAGCTAGCACGAAGTATATGCTGACTACTTTTATAATTTAAACTATGTAAATTCAATTTCGTCGATTTAGTTATCAGAATCGTTATAGAAGATTGAGGTTGTTGAAAAAAAAAAAAACTACAGATAAAGGGACTTATCAGTACAATCATTCGACAATAATTGAATAGAGACATTGCGAATTAGAAGTTTTGTGAAGTTCTAAAGAAAATCGAATGGACGTGGGCTTTAACTCCTGTCTTCCCTCAGCAGGCTTAGACTTTTTTTTGTTTGTAATGGGCTTTGACTAACTTGTAGATTTTTTGTTTCTTTCTAGTTTATAGATTTTCAAGTAGAGATCAAAGATGGCATAAGCTGGACATAACAGATATGTAATTTTTTTTTTTATAAAAAGGGCATTCAACAGATATGTAATTACCACAAATATATTGGAGAATTTATCAAAATGCCCGCAAACAAAAAAAAAAATCAGAAGAACTAATATTTTCTTGCCTAAACTGATATTTTCTTGCCTAAACTGATGTTTGATAGAATCTCCAATACGCCCAACTTTAATGACTTTTGATTGCAATAGTAACCGCGAGAGTAAAATTGAACTGTCTCTTGAAACTCTTTTATGTGAGACTATACTTGTATCTTTCTTCACTCTTCTTTTTTGCCAAATATTTTCCATGTGCTTCTTTTTCTCTTAGCAACTAATTTCTACATGTTCTTAACACCCACCCATCTTTGCATGTTGTTATTAAAATAATACATGTTAAAGAAGATCATGCATACATTCCAATGCCAACGGCTACAAGAAAAACTTTAGGCTTAACGGATAGTAGCAGTGATCTTGACCTAACTTGGATCCATGTCACCTAGAATCGTATCATGAGATAAACATTCAATTAAGTTCGAGAGTTTGTGCATATTTAATAGTAGCAGTGATCTTGACCTAACTTGGATCCAATTTAATTTCTTATATTAAATATGCGCATGTACATGCATGCACAAGAGAAGCAAGCGATATTCTAATAATAATCCTCGTTAAGTTAGTCAAGATGGGTTTCTTATACGTAGGAGTGGATAGAATATAAGAAATTACACAGCCATATATAAGAAATTACACAGCCATATATATATATGCTGTTGCTGTAAATATTGATAGCAAAGCGTATAACAAAAATAATAAATAAGTTATTGGTAAACCGAGACTAGCGTCTCAAAAAAAGACAGAAAAAATTGACGACGAAGACGATTAGGAGAACCGGTGAGATGATGCACAGTACGGGTTTTAAAACCGTAGCGTAGCCAGATTGTACGAGAACTATTTGAAAGTATAAGATGATTGTTGATTGTTGCCACCGGAATTGCTACTCCTTTGAAACCTGGTGGAAAACAAGGCAAAGCTATGGAATACATAGTTTCCCATGATCTCTTGTTTATGTCTAGACCCCATATTCTATAGTAAAGGTCGTCAGCATAAAAACGTCTGCTGAAGATGCATAGACGATGGTTAAGAAGACACATTCCTAAGCAACTAGACCCGATATCCGGAGTAAGTGAAAAGCTTTGAAACGTCTCCGTGTGAAGGTCAAAAGCTAGTAGCTTGGTTTCAGCTGCCTTGTTGAGGCCGAAGCAATAGAGCACTCCATCCAAGTGAATTAGAGGTTGGCGATAGGAAACTCGACAATGAGGCGGATCTACGTATCTCCAAGCATTCGAGTCGAGAGCAAAAACCTTGCACCTAGTAGATTCACTCACCTTCATGGTATCACGCTCGAAAAAACACAGCACCTTATACCTTGGACTCACGGTACTATTCTCTCTTCCGAGCCCTAGCAGTAAAGTATCAGGCATATCCCCACCAGCTACAAAACAATTAAACCCTAATTTATTAATAATTTATATAAAACGAAAGCTTGAGTTGGGAATTTATTATACATGAGTTTAGGTACCTTCAGCGACAGTAGGGGTGGGATCAGGGAGTCTGCGAAGGCTATTGGTGGCAGGATTAACAAGCGTAATTCTACGACAGCTCTTGTGGATACAAAGCAAACCGTCGCAAGGCTCGGCGATTACGGAACATGTAAAACGCCACCTGAAGATTCGATATGGACAAGTTTCTACGATTCCATTGGTAGCCATGAACGACAGAATCTCTAGACTACTGCGAACTGTTCTCCTATCTATGTGGATCTTCTTTATTGTGACGATTTTCGCTTGTAGAGATTTCTGATACCTCTTGTGTTTCTCTACGAAAGACTCTGACTCTACGGTTCCTCTCCATTCTCTCGACACGGCTCTGAATCTCACCAGCGATTTCACCCGTACCTTCACCAGAATCTCTTCCACAATGTCATGTGGAATCTCGACGCCTCTTCTTTTCTTCTCCTCCATCTCTCTACACAGGGTTTTAATTTTTGGTTAGATCGACTAATATAATATCACCATCATCATCGTCATCATCTCTATATATATATAAATTGGTTGGCAAGTGAATATGGCTGAGATTAAAAAAAATTGATGACTCTCCTACCCGAATAATTTTTTTTTAAAAAGGACATTAAAATCAACTAAAAAAGGAAAGTCGTATATCGACATAAAAAGATTAAAAAAAAAAAAGATTAACCAGCCATCCACTAATTAACCCAGACTATTTAATTTCACCCGTACCTTCGATATTGTCATGTACTACTATATAATGTTTCATAAACAATATGCTTTTGGATGCTAGATCTTTCACAGCTCCCATATGCATGGTTTGTAGCATTTAAAGGATAAAATTTGATATAAAGCATGGCCTATACTTCAAAAAAGCATATATCATATTCGAGCATGAATATATATCAACTCCATACCCTTGGATATTTTCTTTGTGGTGTGGCAGATCTTAGCTTACTGAATGCGTGTTAGAGAGCAAGTCCAATAGAGATACTATTGGTGGATGTCTTATTGATTAATTATTAATATTTTGTGTGTTTTTAGAACATACAATTGAGAAGCTTTTGATGGGTGTCTTTTATATATATTTTTTTTAATAAATTTAAATAAAAAACTCTGTTAACAACTTTTAAAACATATTACATTTTCAAAAATGTAATACAGTAGAAATTTTTATAAATTAATATTTAATAAATTAATAAATTTGATAAATCAATACTTTTGTTCGGTCCCGAGTTAGACCCATCCAAAATTTAATATAAATCAATAAACTAATAAGATAATATTTTTTTTGAAACTTTATGTAAAATATAGTCCTATTTATATCATAAATTAATAAATATCACATAAAATAATTTTATATAATTATATAATAATGATAATCTATTAAATATAAGTACATTGTTGTTTTTTTACTAATGTTAAACATTTTTATCATTTATCTCTAATTTTATAATAAAATTTTTGAAAAATATTATAAATTTAAAAGAAAATATTATTTTAATTAATTATTAATAAACAATTTATTTTATCCAAAACTGATAAATTAATAACTCTATAGATTAATAAAATATCGAAGTCCCAGCATTATTAATTTATAAAGTTTCTACTGTACATGAAAGCATATAAATTATAAATATGCAATTCAGAAACTGAAATTTTTCATCGTCCACTCACATCTTGCCACATGTGCGTTCTTAATTTAGACACTAATGTCTTATTTTAGTCATCAGTCTAAAATATAAGACACCATGAGCCATTTTTATATTCAATTTTATTGTTAGGAACATTTGTTTAGACCCATCAAGATCTCTATTGGAGCACCCCAATGGAGACACTACTAGTGTGAGTTTTATTAATTAATTATTAATATTTTATGCATATGAAACATTTTGTAGAATTTTGTTGTTTTTAAGCATACAATGAAGACACTTTTGATAGGTGTCTTAAAAACAAAACAAAAAAAATATTTTTTATAATAAATTTAAGTAAAAATTTATGTTAACAATTTTTAAAACATAATATATTTTTAAAAATGTAATACATGGAAACATATCTTATTATATAAAGTTGAATGCATCAAAGTTAGTAATTCATATGATTGTGACATGTGACGAATCATTCGATTCAGATTTTAACACGTATCACAATTAAATTAAAAATAAACATAAATTTGTAAATATCACTGTTGTTAAAAAAATATAACAGTATAATATCTAAAAGAAAAATTAAATTAAAAAATAATAATATATTTTAATTAAGAAAAAGAAACTTTTTTGGAAAATGGTAAAAACTAATCCTAGAAGAAAAAAGAATCTATTATTCACATCTTTATAAATGTATAAAGTATGTTATAACTAGGCAAATTATTTTTTTAGACTCGAATCGATGAATAAGATGAGAATTTGATAAATCGATAAAAACAATCAGAATTGAGGAAACAAAATAAAGGAGAAATCTAATTTTCCTTTGAAATATGTAGCAAATTTTATATGTTAGTATTTCACATGATCGTGACACTTGTCAAATTTTTCAATTAAGATTTTGACACATATCATGATTAAATAGTTTAGACGGGTCCATATCTAGTAAATTATAAAATTAAAAAAATTGTAACCTTAACTTAAATTAATAATTTAAATTAAAAACTCGTGCAGCATATGAGTCCATATCTAGTAAATTATAGAAGTGCAATACAAAAACTAGAATTAAAATATCTTACTTTAGGTGTCAGAAACTTTGTCCACTCATATCTTGACATGTGTCCGTTCTTAACTAAAAAAAGATCTTATTTTAGACATTGGTTTTAAACTTAAGACACTCTTCATAATTTTTTTATTCACTTATATTATTAAAAACCCTCTATTAGACACTTTGAGATGACCATTGGAGTTGGTCTTAGTATGAGTCTTAAAGATTAATTATTAATATTTTATGTATTTTATGTATATAAGACACTTTGTAGTATTTTGTTGTTTTTAAGCATACAATGGAGACACTTTTGATGGGTGTCTTAAAAACATAAAAAAAAAAATAATTTTTTTTTGTTGTAAAAACTTATTTCAATAACTTTTAAAACATAATTCATCTTCATAAAGGTAACACATAGAAACATACTCCCTATGTTCCAAAAAGTATGATATTTTGGCATATTCACATAAATTAAGAAACAATTATATTCTAGTTATCAATGCATTACTTTTTAACAATGATTACTCCATTTAATAACTGTTAACCAATAAAAATTTAAATAATTTTAGTTATTTTTCTTGAAATCTACAAAAAACATACTCCCTCTGTTCCTAATTCTAAGATGTTTTGAGTTTTTCACAGTAATTAAGAAACTAATCATTAACCGCTTTTTTAATACTTTTTATTTTAATTTAATATTATTTAAATAGAATAATAAATGTTAGTTTTAATTTTTTTTTGTTTCCAATAAATTTTGTTACTTTTTGTTCTCGTAAAGTTGGAAAGGAATTCTTTAAAAAATTAGAAAATCAATATTTTAGAACAAAATAAAAACTCAAAACATCTTAGAATTATGAACGGAAAGAGTATTTAATACTTTAAAACATCATATTTTATGGAATAAAGGAAAAAACTAAAACATCATACATTTAGGAACAGAGAAAATATAAATTATACAAGTGTAATTCAGAAATTAAACTTTGTCTAATCAGAAGTTGCCACGTGTCGAGTCTTAACTAAAAAAATCATAAATTAGACCTTGGTCTAAAACTTAAAACCATCACTACTATTTATTTATTCAATTATATTTATAAAAACATTGAATTAGTTCCTTAAGATTGACCATTGGGGTTGGTCTTATGATCAATCTCCACAGCCTTTATTCGTGATTGAGCCATGATAGTGTCATATACAGTAGTGGTAGCATATCACTATCTAAGACCAAATTAGTGGAGTTAATGTCAAAAGGGATCATAAAAAAAGGAAAAAAAAAAAGGAGAAACTAGAGCTTATTCCTACGTAGGTATAGAAAATTAAGTGATAAGTCAAATAAAATATGAGAAATTTACACCAATGCACCACCAATATTTCACAATCTGGATCCAAATTTTTATGATTGAACCTGATAACCATATTTTTCACACCTATTGCAACTCTAGAAGGAGGAAATCTCATTTACACAGACTCCATTCTTCTCTTACCAAATTTAATACTAACCCTTAGTTACTCCATATTTTATTACACTACTTATATTCTTCCTAATCATATTTTCACCCAAAAATCGACTTTATCATTATAAGTAGGTTTCAACATGTTTTGTTTTTGTAAGTCAAAAGTAACTTGCTCAAGTTTTTTTTTTATGAGTGGTCTGACTTTCAACATTACTTTTCCTCCAAGGATTGTTTTTTATTTTTATTTTTAGATATTAAAATTAATGATTTTTTGGTAATAATTGGAGCCTCCTTTAAATTAGGGCCCAAACGGTGGCCATCTTCAGATTGTCCAGGGCCGGCGTAAACGCAAACGCAACCCTTTTCTTCTTCATAAAAACCTTCAAACTCCAATTTTTTTGTTCCTTCTTCTTCTTCCTCGCTCTTATTCGCCGCTCTCTCTCTCTCGATTCATTCCTCCCAAGTAAGCTTCTTTAATCTTCTTTCTGGACCAATCGTATATCGTCTTCAACTAATTTGTAAACCTAATTGTTCCTGCTCTGTTGTAAGAATCTTTACCTGGATAAGTCAGGGGAATTACAAATCGAAACTTACTGTGTTAGAAACCGATGTTTTAGGATTTTGTCTCCGTGATGTATGAACCCTAATTTCGTCTGTTTTGATAAGATTTCATTGTGCCTTATTTACGCAGGTGCACGTTAGCACAGTTCCTAGCTTCCTCTTCTCGATGGCGACTCGTTAGTTTTTCTGCAGAGGCTTACTTATACTAATTGTGTTTTACCTCCTTTGGGGATCTCTTTCTAAGCGGCTTTAAATTATTTGTATGCAGGTCTTCAGTTTGAGAACAACTGTGAAGTTGGTGTCTTTTCCAAACTCACTAATGCCTATTGCTTAGTCGCTATAGGAGGCTCTGAGAACTTTTACAGGTATCTTTTGTTTTGCTTGGTACATACACTCTTTTTATGTTTCTGCTTCTTCTATAGTTCCGAAGAAACTTTTGAAATTTGCTGATGTTTTTGCAGTGCTTTTGAGTCGGAGCTAGCAGAGGTTATCCCTATTGTTAAGACCTCTATTGGAGGAACACGAATCATTGGTCGTCTTTGTGCTGGTTTGCTTTCTTTGACACCTTTAAAGTTTCTTACTTTTCTGTTCTTGTTGATAATTTTCACTAGCGTGATTAAAAATGGTTTTTTTTTTGCTTTCTTTCTCTGTGTATAGGAAACAAGAATGGGCTTCTTGTGCCTCATACGACTACTGACCAAGGTAATTCTTGAAATTAATAAATTGCTCTTTGAAATTCCTGATAAATCATGATCCTGTTGACATATATATGGAGATATTAGAGCTTTTTCTGTATATCTGTTATGCAACGTGGCCAAGCATTTGTATTGCCTTTCCATGTTTAAATTGAGTTTATGAGTGGCTTCTTGTAACTGTTGAAGCTGATTTTTTTTTGTCTCCCCCATCTATTGTTACTGAGGATTTTGTAATGTTGTATTATATGCGAGTCTTTTTTGTCTCTTAATATCGACATATTATATATTGGTCTGTGCTCTGTAGTTTGATTTTTTTCTCCTCCATCTATTATGATTGAGGAATTTGCAACGTTGTATTATATGCGAGTCTTTTTATCTCTTGATATCGAACTATTATATATTGGTTCTGTGTTCTGTGGTATGGTTGCATTTACTCAATTTTAATTATGGTTTCTTTTTCTAACAGAGCTTCAACACTTGAGGAACAGTCTACCTGATCGAGTTGTGGTCCAGCGAATCGAGGAGCGTCTGTCTGCTCTTGGAAATTGCATTGCCTGCAATGACCATGTTGCTCTTGCTCACACCGATCTTGACAAGGTAAAAGACTCACGTCCTGCTGATTTTCTCTTACGAAACTGCTTGTCAAAACTCATCGGCTGTTTCCCAAAATTGACACTGTCAAGAAATGATGAAACACTAAGTGAGCTACAACAGTTCGCAAGGATGATGTTATCTAATCCATTTGGAGTCGCCATGAATTGTTAAAGAAGATCTACATATGTTGTTTGGTTCGATGTGTGGTTCTTGTTTTGATTTTTTTTCTCTTCCATTGACAGGAAACTGAGGAAATAATAGCGGATGTACTTGGTGTTGAAGTTTTCCGTCAGACAATTGCAGGCAACATTCTTGTGGGCAGTTACTGTGCCTTATCCAACAGAGGTGGAATGGTAAGAAGAGTTCCAAACACAACACATCCCTTTTTGTGAAATTTGACAATTGATTCTCTCACTAGAATTTTTGTATTGACGAATGTTTTTGTCTCAAATAGGTCCATCCTCACACCTCAGTGGAAGACTTGGACGAGCTCTCAACACTTCTTCAAGTCCCTCTGGTTGCAGGAACCGTGAACCGTGGTAGTGAAGTTATAGCTGCGGGTATGACCGTTAACGATTGGACTTCTTTCTGCGGTTCAGACACAACCGCAACAGAGCTTTCTGTCATAGACAGCATCTTCAAGCTGAGGGAAGCCCAACCCAACTCTATTGTCGACGAGATGAGGAAGTCTTTGATCGACACCTATGTTTAAATTTTGCTTTGTTTTGGATGAAACACACAACAACATCCCTAAGCAGTCAATGCTGGGAATTTCATATCTTGTGGTCTTTGTAGGCTCTGAATATCTCTTTACTGTTGCAAGAATTAGTTTTTTTTGTGTGTGTGTTTTTAACAGATTAGAAGTAATCTGTTGATGTCTTTTCGAATCTTTTTGAATCCATTAAAATGCCACTTATCTTTTAATTGAGGTCCACATTCTAGTGGAAAAGAAAAGAAACCAAATGGATAACGGTTTTGTTCGGTACATATCCAAATTCTGCATCTCTATGTATCTACAGATAAAGTAAAACACTTTTTTCGCTTAGATAGTTTGAAGATTGAATTGAAAGTTGGGACCTTTCATTTCCAATCCCAAAAACCCATTTCTTTCTCTCTTTTTCTCCACGATTACAAAATACAGATCTCAAATTTGGTTTCTTTTGGATTCCTTCTATGACAACTGGTAAATTCTCTGTTTCTTTACGTTCTGATTTTTAATTTCTTATTGAGTTTGCTTCAAAGTGAGCTTCTCTGTTTTATTTGCCGGGAACAAAACAGAAGATGAAGGTGAATTGTCAGCTCGTTACCAGAACGCATTGGATGCATTATCGTCACTGATCACAGAACGCAGCCGTTTTGTCAATAACAATCAATCTCACCGGTTCCGTTTGCTCTTCCATTATCTCAAGGTTCCCAAATCACTTTTTGAACCTTTTTGTGTCATACCAAAGTTATGATCTTTTTACAGACTCATGAATCTCTTAAGGTTCTTGAGCTTGAAGAAGCAGTCTCGCATATGAAAGTCATTCATGTGGCTGGAACTAAAGGAAAGGTACAGACATTTTAAAATGGCTCATGTTTAAAGTTTCCATGAGAGTATACAATGAAGATTTTAAATCTTTTCTTAATCTTTTTTGTAAGGGATCAACATGCACATTTTCAGAATCTATTCTTCGTAATTACGGCCTTCGTACTGGTCTCTTCACGTCTCCTCACTTGATCGATGTCCGAGAGAGATTCCGTCTGAACGGGTGAGCTAATGAAAAACATAAACATCATCAAGAGATTTTTATCAAAGCAAATGCTATAAGAAACACAATTTGAATTGCTTCAGCATTGAGATAAGCCAGGAGAAATTTGTGAGATACTTTTGGTGTTGCTTCCATAAACTCAAGGTGTGGGGATTTTAGAACAGAGACTTTTTCTGTTTTTTTTTTTTCTCTCATTTCGTTTATACACATTCCAAATTATAAAAGCGCAGGAGAAAACAAGCAATGAGATTCCGATGCCTACTTACTTCTGCTTTCTTGCATTGTTAGCTTTCAAGATTTTCACAACAGAACAGGTTTTGGAAAAATCTCTTTTCTTGATTGAACTAATGTATAATTTAGCCATTTATGTTATTGATGTTTACGTGCAGGTCGATGTTGTTATACTAGAGGTTGGCTTAGGTGGGAGATTCGATGCTACTAATGTGGTAGGAAACAAATTTACTATTTTTTCATGTAACATTAAGATTTAGTTTATCTCTAACAAGGCCATTGTGTTAGTACAGATTCAGAAACCTGTCGTCTGTGGTATTTCTTCTCTTGGCTATGATCATATGGAGATTCTTGGTTAGTCTCTTTCACGCTCAATATTTGGAAAAAAAATGGACCCAATGCGTTTTTTTAATCACTCGGTTTAATCCAGGACACACGCTTGCTGAAATCGCTGCAGAGAAAGCCGGTATCTTCAAGGTACAGACAAAAAGCTTCTGTGTTTATTCGAGTTTCAGTTTCCTTTCTTAATCTTTGTCTCTGGTCTAGAGTGGAGTTCCTGCATTTACAGTGCCTCAACCTAATGAAGCAATGCGTGTACTCAACGAGAAAGCTTCAAAACTGGAAGTAAAGGCTACACAAAACAACCAAAATCATTAGATAGATACATAAGGTTAGTAATAATTAGTACTTGTTTTCAGGTGAATCTTCAGGTGGTGGAACCGTTGGACTCGAGTCAGAAACTTGGGCTTCAAGGCGAACATCAATACCTAAACGCTGGTCTTGCTGTTGCCTTGTGTTCTACATTTCTTCAGGAGATTGGTATACAGGACAAGAACGGTTTGAATCAGACAGTAAGCTGAATCAATCAAGAACATTCTTTGAGTTGTGAATTGATTATTCTTCTCAGTAAAAAGGTTTTTTTTTTCTTGAAAAACAGAACGGATTGCCAGAAAAATTCATCTCTGGATTGTCGAATGCTTATTTGATGGGACGGGCTATGATCGTGCCTGATTCAGAACTCCCTGAGGAGATTGTGTTTTACCTTGATGGAGCTCATAGTCCTGAAAGCATGGAAGCTTGCGCTACTTGGTTTTCGAAACAGATCAGACAAAACCAAGAAAGAAACCAGAGAAGATCAGAGCAGGTGAAGTTTGTTTTTTTTTGAAAATGTGTGTTACATCTCAAGAACTTGTGAAAGTTCATCTAATAATGTGTTTGGTATATACATATATGCAGATACTCTTGTTCAATTGTATGTCTGTTCGTGATCCGAGTTTGCTTCTTCCACGATTAAGGAGTAAATGCATTGAACAAGGTGTGTTTTTTATTAGTATGAGATAAACATGAGCTTATTAAGGCTTTTACTTGAAATCTCAATATAAAATGTTTTGAAATGATGTGTATAGGAGTTGAATTCAAGAAAGCTGTTTTTGTACCAAACGTATCAGTGTATAACCAAGTTGGATCTTGGTCAAAGGTTGACGCACGTGTCGACTCGATAACGTGGCAGTTCGGTCTACAGAGGCTTTGGGAGAGTTTGGCTCGAGGTGAAGCAAAATCTAATTCAGGAAGTGATTCCAAAGGCAAAGAAGAAGAGAAGAGCTTCGTTTTCTCGTCACTTCCTATGGCCGTTGACTGGCTCAGGGAAAGTGCTCGCCGGAGTAAACAAGTCCGTTTTCAGGTAAAGAAAAAAAAAGTAGTTTGTTTGCCATTTTGTACTTACAGTATAATTATAAAGTGGACTAATTTGGATTTTATTTTGGGGTTATGTTGTGGTGTTAAAGGTGTTGGTGACTGGTTCATTACATTTGGTGGGTGATCTCTTGAGATTAATCAGGAAAAAAATGTGATTATGCGAAACCTTTTTCTTTTTCTTCTTCTTGATTTCTTCCTCTTACGCATAAAATGAAATTAATTTTAAGTTATTAACCAACGCTTATTGAGAGAGATATGGTTAAAAATGCAACATTTCAACTTAATATAAATGCAAAAACATTTTTTAAAGCCATTTTTAACCAAACAGCTACACAAATGCAACACTTTTCTTAATATAACAGACTGTTCAGAGACGCCAGTGGTTATAGACGCCAATGTACATAAGGGTGTATTTCATTAAAAAAACCTGAAATTATAAAACCATTGATTTAGTATTAAACCTTGTTATTAAAGGCGGTCGCTTAACCGCTTATACGGTTGTAAAATCGCCAAATTGGTAAAACTAATTAACCAGATTGAATAAAATCTTGATTTATTAGTGATTTTAATACTAAGTGGCCTATTTCAATTTGATTCGGCTTAAGAGCATGCTTTATTTATAGTTCCAGTTTACGTGATCATTTTATCATTGTTTTGACGTGCGATGTTTCACTTTTTCACTTGTCTCTTTTTTATTAAGATCTGAACCGTTTGATTAGTTGAAATTTAACCAATAAAATAAATACTATTAATAAATTTGAGATGATAATTAGTGGTATATGAATTATAACAAACTGCATATAAATAATTTATGATTCTTAGTTGTTTTGTTTTGATGTTTTATAGATAAGATTATTTAAAAATTTATAGACTTTCATCTAATTTGATATTTACATAAATCTTATTAAAAAATATATGTTATAAATTTTTAATTTCGATATAGTATGTATAAAAATGTTTGATAAAATATTAATTTGTATAAAATTACTATTTTCTCATTTATTTCCAATTTTTTTCGCTAATACGTCCTACTACTAACGCACAATGAGTTTTCGAACAAAAATTCTATTGCATCCAGCATAAAATCATTGGAAGAATTAGAAATATTTTCCAGCAAAGGCCGAACAATGTAAAGACTACCCATCTCGATGAAATGAGTGAAGACTTCAGCTCCCAAAAAATAGACCATATTGTTCAAAATGTTCTTTAAGCTCCAGGCTCAACTACAAGGTCCATATCCTCCACATGTAATGCTTTCACCCTCTACCGTTTGAAAGAAGATTTGAATGAGCAGGAGTGACATAATTTCAATAACATCTTCATGCACACTGTAAGTTCAAATGTATAAATGATAAAAGTCAAAGTCATGTCAGGTCAGCAGGAAAAATGATATAGTCACGTCATGCCAATGTAAGCGAGGTACATCCTTTTTTAATTATCTTCATTTACCAACAAAAGCAGGTTCAAACTTAAGACTCTTTGAATAAACATGAGCTAGTTAAGGCTTTTACTTGAAATATCATATTAGATGTTTTGAAATCATGCATAGGAGTTGAATTAAAGAAAGCAGTTTTTTGTTAGATGTTTTGAAATTATGCATAATTTAAAACAGATATATCTCTCTCTGTAATGATGATGTTCATTTCTCGACATGATTTACCAAAAAAGGAAAGATATTTCGACATGTTTAATAAATTAAACACGTGCTTGTACCATCTCCCCGGCCGTGTGAGATATCTTAAAAGTTACAATTGTACCACCGACAAAGATTTGTTAGTGGCCAAAACTTTTAAAAGAGTGTGTGGATGCAACCACTGTAAATCATTCACATAACAATGAAAAATATCTGTCCAAAAGAGAAAAATAAAAAACAAATAAAAAAAAAGACGTTAACAATCACGTGGCGGTAAAACGCTCGCTGCATCAAAACGCTGGCGTTTCAACGCTTAGCGTGTATAGGGTGCGTTGGAAACAAGCGTACACGAAGTCTTTTTAGAAGCAGTGAAAGCACCGAATAAGAAAATTGGAAAAGAAAAAGACGAGAGGCACACAAAAAGAAGAGATAGCCAAACTTTCAAGCAAAGCAATTCAAACGAAAACGAAGATCGTTGATAGATTCCTTTTCATCGGAATCGGAGCTTTTTTGAGGAGGAGGGGTGTATTGTTCGGATAATCTTCTCCGGGTGGGTGAGATTGAGGATTTGTTTGATCGGGATTCGAGCGGCAAATGGTGATGCAGACGGAGGCTAGGGTTGGGATGAGCTCAGGCCATGGCGTCGTCGGGAACAAATCGTCGTCTCATCGTCTAACGCAGGAACAGAGATCACATATCGAATCGGCTTCGCAGCTCTTGGCCGGAGGAATCGCCGGCGCTTTTAGCAAGACTTGCACTGCCCCTCTCTCTCGCCTCACCATTCTCTTCCAGGTTTCGTTTCCATCGAGAGAGAAACGATCAAAATTTTCGAGATTTCATAGAAACCCATTTGCTGGGTTATTGAAGTAAAAAGACCCATTTAGAAATTTTCGATTGCAATTTGTTGATTCTGTGATTCTAATTTTGTTCCAAACAATCAAAAAACTGAGAATCCATAGAAATGAAAAGCTATTTGCAATCTCTTCTTCTTCTTCACGATTTAAGTGTGTTTGATACTATTAAAGTTACTATTGTTTGATTATTATGCACTACTTGAGGGTTCTTATTGTAAAGCTTACATCTCATGATCCCAAATCTAGCTCGAAATGCATAAAAGGAAGTTTTTTTTCTCTCCTTTCTTATCTTTGATTATAGATTCTGATGTGTTTAGGTGCAAGGGATGCACTCAAATGCTGCAGCTCTAAGAAAGCCGAGCATATTGCACGAGGCTTCACGGATAGTGAATGAAGAAGGATTCAGGGCTTTTTGGAAAGGGAATCTAGTTACAATTGCTCACCGGCTTCCTTATTCTTCTATCAATTTCTACACATATGAACACTACAAGAAGGTCTGAAAATTGATCCTACAAGTTTGGTCATTGAGTGCCATTTTTTGTCTCCACTTAGCCTTACCTCTGATTCGATCTTTCATTGTTTTCAGTTCATGTATATGGTTACTGGGATGGAAAATCACAGGGAGAGTATAAGCTCAAACCTTTTTGTACATTTTGTAGCCGGTGGTTTGGCTGGAATCACAGCTGCTTCTGCCACTTATCCACTTGATCTTGTTAGAACTCGTCTTGCTGCTCAGGTTGGCGTTTTTTTCTTTTCTTTCTCCAAAACATATGTTTTTGATATGATCATTGTATTCTAAGTTCACATGTTGGTTTCATGACTGAGGCATTGTTGCATTAGCTGGTTATTGACATTTGTCGTTCCATCAATGGCAGACAAAAGTAATCTACTACACGGGTATTTGGCATACTCTGCGCACTATCAGCATCGACGAAGGTATCTTGGGCCTCTACAAGGGACTCGGAACAACGCTTGTGGTATTTTCCACAAAAAAGAAGATGAATACATCATAAATGTTGTATCTTTCCACTTTCGCTGTTTATTGACTAAGGTTTCGTTTATACAGGGTGTTGGGCCTAGTATCGCCATTAGCTTTTCTGTGTATGAGTCTTTGAGATCTTATTGGATGTTAACTAGGTAAAATAAGCCAGTCTCTAAAAGACTGTTCTGCATATTAATTATATCACATATCATTCTTTTTTCCCCTCCTAAAATTAATTGTCTGTTCGTTTTTCTTTTTTTTGTCAAGGCCCCATGATTCTCCTATTATGGTTAGTCTAGCTTGTGGAAGTCTTTCAGGCATAGCATCTTCAACAGGTGAGTTACTTCTGCTATTTTATTTACCTTTTTCTTTATTGTTCGCCATGGGACTGACTGTGTGGTAGTACTTTGTCCCTCCCTCTATGCCTTGTATATTAGCATTAGCATCAATTTCACATCACATCAGACTTCTCTGGTTACTATGTTTTCGGTGCATGGTAGGTGGACATGGTAATGCATTTGTGAAAACTGGCTAAGGCGATTTTTAACTTCAACCATGGCCACACAATAAAAATCTGTCCGACTCCCCATCATATGCATGCTTCTGTTGATCATATCAACCATGACCTTCTCTAGAACCCTTCTAGCATTACTTCATTTAGTATCAGATTTGGTTAATCAAACACAACTAACATCACTCCCCTTGTAGATCGTTCAATTAACTGCTGATTTATGTGTTTATCTTAATGATACTGTATCTCATGCTGCATTCATAAGCAGTAGAACCTTGACAGAACTGATGCATTGTGTTTAGTTTGTTATAATGGCACTCTGTTTAATCTCTGATGTAAACAAAATAAAAAAAACTGCAGCTACGTTCCCATTGGATCTGGTGAGAAGAAGGAAGCAGCTAGAAGGAGTTGGCGGGAGAGCGGTTGTGTACAAGACAGGTTTGTTGGGGACATTAAAGCGTATTGTGAAGACAGAAGGAGTGAGAGGTTTGTACAGAGGAATTCTTCCAGAGTACTACAAAGTGGTTCCTGGTGTTGGCATCTGCTTCATGACCTACGAGACTCTCAAGCTTTACTTCTTGGATCTTTCCTCACGGCTATAACAGTTTTATGTTTTAGATTTTTAGGTCTATTTTTTTTGGTGAAAGGCAAAACTGTAAACCAAAAAGTGGAGATTGACATTATACGAGATTGTAGTAGAATTATATATGTATTTTTGGGGTTATATTTAGTGATTTTAGATTATACGAAATTAACACTGTCCTAGTTTATGTGGCTCATATCACCAAAGATTCAAAGATATCAACAGATGATCTAAATGGACGTGATCATGTTTTCAGATTTTTAAATGATCATGTATTTAAATATAAGAGGCAAAAATATGAGTTGATCTTGTTGCTATTGCAACTCTAATATCGTAATGGAATGTGATTATTGTTTGTTGATCTTTGTAGAAATTTCCCTCTGACCAGACAATAATTATTAGGTTCTTGATGATTTGATCAACTTGATTGATAATTATTACTATCGTTGTTACTTGAATTCTTGCCAATTCGATCGATTAAATTGATTATAAATTTAAGAATTTGTTTGAGAAGACAAACATGGAGTTTCATCAACATCTCTTGGTTTTGATATTTGGTTTGCATCATTTTTTAGTTTTAGACTTTTAGTTTGAGAGCTGTTGATTTAGTGGAAATTCAATCCATTATTCTCTCTGATTATTTATTAGTGTATATGATTTTTCCAAAGAGATGCAAAAAGCAAAGGAAATTAGTAACGGGCCCTTGTCAATTAGGAAAGTAGTGATGATGGGCTTTGAGACTTGAAAGTACCTGTCCCACATCGGAGAGAAGAGAGAGTTTGGGTGGTGAAGAGTTTAATATAAAAAGAGGCTTGCTACAAGTGAAAACTCACGCAGCCATGTGGTGAGCACAAAGCGAACTATTCTTTCGCCTTTTACTAAAGAATACCGTGTGCTCTCTTCGCTAAGTGGCATACGCCTATTTTTGGAGGGTTCTGCTTTCGAGTGGGCCCAATATTTTCACCAGTTCCAAATTTTAATGTATATTAATAATAATTATCAATTACTAACGGCTATTGGGCCAATAAACTACAAACCGCAGTAATTAAATGGATCTCTTAATTATGTAGCAAACATCATAACACAAAATGTTTACGTATAAATGTATATTGATAACAATTGCTCCATTGGGCCAACCGACTTAAATTAAGTGGACCTCTAAATAGTGCTTTTGTTTGGAATGGAATTAAATTTCGCAACGCGGACTAAAAAAAAATTTAGCTAAAATTCATATTTGTAATTGTAAGTAATAATATTTTAGTATACTTGCTGTTGTCCAGAAATCAAAAGAGTAGCGGCATATGTGAAAAGATGTTTACGTGGAAAGTAAATGGTCAATTTTTTTTACAAAGGGGTTACAACTTACAATATTAGGATACTCAAATGTAATGTCAACCAAACATAAGTGATTCGAAATGGTGTTCGGGTCCAAGTTTCGAACATTAGTTTCTTTTTATATACCCCCAAGTGTGGCTATGCTTGTCTCTTCAACATTCTTTATGTCAAAATATATAGATATGTTTCCCTTACCATGAACAGTCATCTTGTTATATAAGATATAGTATTTTCTTCTCGTATCAACTGCTTATTTTTTGTTTTCTAAATTATTTTCTCTTGAATCTGGAAATTCATTCAGATTTCTCAGATATATAGCAAGTACTCAGCATATAACTAATATAATATGGTCAACTTATTTTTTGTTGTTAATTACATGTAGAAATATCCTAAAAAAACGCAAAATTTAATTTTGGTTCTGCATTTCTATAACTTTGTAAAAACTTATATTACCATGAACTTTATTTAGGTTTTGTAAGAAAGGGTTTATAAAAAAACGTATAGTATTTAAGTTTGTGATATTTTTGAATTTTGATGGTAATTTTAGAAAGTAAAGATATAAATATGGGATCACTGTGGTCTCTATATATGTATCAGTCGAATATATGGCTTGGTATCATTTTCTTTTTGTGTCGCGTACTCGTGTTGATTCCACAACTTGCAAAAACCATATTGTTTTGTTTTTTGTTTTTCAATATGAATCACAACTTGCAAGTTGCGAAGACAACAATGGAGTCAACCCCTTGTTATTGATGAATCTTACATCACTATAGCGAATCAAACTTGACCTTATCGATCTTATGGTCCTTTAAATACTTATATTCCCCAACACAATAAAATTTTACTTATTTTGCGTTATTCTGATTGTAGCATTAATTAACCGGTAAAGGGTATAGATTGGAATGAAAAGACAACCGCTAATTAATTATTTTCAAACTTCCATCAAAACGTTTTTCTTTTTATATATATTTTCTGTATTTCCATTTGTTTTTCTGTCAAGCACTCAAGCCGTCATTTTTACTGTTGCTTTTTTTTTGTTTGTTGATAAAAACATTAAAAAACGTGAAAGGTTATTATATTTTTCATCAAAGACACGAATTTCTTATATTTCAATCTCTTTGCCAATCAACTAAAACTGATTTTTAGCTGATACCATTCAAAAATTGTATTGGGAACATGAGACATGCATGCATGGACTGGGAACGTGATAAAATACCGCCTAAAATTTGCAGATAAAAATTTACATTCACTCTTTTCATTAGTAGTGTGAGTCTAATGACAACAGAATAAACAATGCAAGGTATATGTACTATGTTTTTAAAAATTATAATAACTATCATATTTCTTTTTATTAATTTTCAGAATTTCGGACGGCCAGAACAATATTCTTTTTAGGTTGTTTTTAAAGGAATTTGTATTGGCTAAAGAAAACTAATCCGTTAATTAGTCAGCTAGACGACTGTTTAATCATTTTGCCAATTTTTGGAGTCGACTAATATCTTTACGGCGAGCAAAATGTATGCTTTAAAACGGAAATTATAGTTGTCCAAAAAAGTGGAATTTATTACTTTCGTTAGAACGAAACTAAAAAAAGTGATTTTGCAAATACTTTGGAAAGCATTTGCATATTATAAATCTTTATTGACTTTTAGTGTGGGCACGACATTAGGTCACTCACGGGAATGATCTTCAAGATTTCTACTTCAATTGATACGACCACCATTTTTGGTAGCGTACGTACCGCGTAGCTTAACCTTTTGAAGAGTTTTCTCATTTTCATATATAAGAAAAATAAATATTAAATTAGTTAAGCTTTACAAAAGGACTCTAAAATTGGAAATCGCAGAATAAACCGTTTAGATCCTTAATTTGAATCGGGTCTGTTATTCAAAATTTTAAGACTGACCATACAAAGCATAAATCTATAATATCCGATATTTATATTTTTAGTGAACATATCTTAGTTAAAGAATTTTATACTGGATCACAGCGGATCGAAAAGATTAAGCAACGTGACGATTTTAATTTGCCGACATCGACGAATCTAGGATTAACGAAATTTGCATTCAATATCCATTAGAGCCGTTCTTACAAAGATACTACTACTCTCTAACTGTTTAAACCAAAAAGCTCTCTAACTAACTACATAATAGCCAAAATTATAAATTTTATATAAGCTGTATGTATTCCTTATTCGTCCTTATTTAATATTTTTTTAAACATATCTATTTGTTCTCATATGACAGATATATTATAACGCAAAAAATGACGAGAAAATAGATTTAAAATAGGCGACAAATAATCTAAAGGACCCGATCACATGTAGTCAAAGTTTTCAACTATAAATATGCAGATACGACAGTTAATAACAGTCTCATAAAAACTGCAAATCTTCACGTGTCTTCTCTTTTGATCCATCACATGTTCTCTCCTTTCTTTGCCTCTCTCTGCAAATCTAATCCTTTCTCTTTTTGTAATTCATCTTCCCCAAAAGAAACCCTTTAAAATTTATATACATATATACATATATATATATATCCACCTACACGACTTTGGCATGGACAAGAAGAAGATTGTTGCTGCTTCAACTTCATCTTCTTCGTCTTTCGACCATATATTTGGTCCACGAGTCTCTTCATCACCTTCTTCATCATCCACTGGATTGTTCAAATCCATCTTCCCACCACCCTCTGCGGTACTTCATCTTGATTTTCTTATTACATCTGAGGAATACGTGAATCATTCTTAACATATGCCTGTTACATAGGGGCTCTAGATTACTATACAAAATTATGCTGATCTACTCTCTAATTTCTCTTGCATGTTGTGAACTAAAAGGGTATGTTGGGGAGGCAAGTGAACTTTGCAAGTCAAGGTGGACAAGTGAAGTATCAAACTCCATGTAATTAATTATTCATGAGTTCTTTTTTCATAAAAAAAATTAGCTTAAGAATCTTCAAATCCAGGTTATATATGAACTCTATTTCAATAATGGTTGGTTACATCAATGGTTATTGTAAACGATTCAAATGGAAAAATTATCCATTTTTCATATGGTTAAAAGATTATTCTGTATTTTACGGTATATAATATTTTCCTGGCTTATGAATCGTGCATGATCGTCCAAGTTTAGATGAAAGAGGTGAAAGAAGCAACAAAAAGGAGAAAAAGAGTTACCATAATGAGGAAACAGAACCACCATGCCACTTGAGCTCATCCATTTACTATGGAGGCCAAGAGAAATATTCCTCTACAACGACTACCACCAAAGATACTGTAATTAAGTCGTACTCGCATCTATCATAAGTTCATAACACCCACGTGAGAAAACTTATATATATTCCTTACATGTATTCTCCTTTACTTTATAACTTTTGTAGTACAAGCAAGATGGCGAGGAAGGCGATTCCAAAAGCGCATCGAGAGGAAACTGGTGGCAAGGTATCGTTTTTTTCCTATGCAAATTTATAGATTTATTTATAATTATTGACAAGTTTCGTTTTACATTTGTTTACGATAAAAATAATAATAATTATATTGGGTGTATGCAGGGTCGCTTTATTACTAGCATGAACTGCATGTAATGCAATCCTGATTTTGAGTAAGGTTTATATACTCATGCCTTTTTCGTAATTTCTTTACCTGAAGACCAAAAAGACCCCCGATAAAATCTAAATATAGTGGATAAAAATATCAGCTTAAATATCAAATATACCTGAAGTTACTTTTTTTGTTGGAACTTGGCAGAGTTCATATGTTTTCTTTTAGGTCACACAAATTATACTGATATGTATCTCTGACACAGTCTTTGTGACCACTTTGCAGGGAATTAAGAGACATATCCTGGTCTAATATCTTAATATGAAAATTTAAGGGTGGCTATATGATTAAAAAGGAGAGTAGTAGTATATTACACTATATAAACGTCCTTACTAAATTAAAGAGTGTATTGTATAAAAAGAAGAGTGACTTGTTCTTGACATGTCGATTTGTTCTGTTTTACGCAAAACGCAACACTAAGACAAGCCTCTGTCTGATGATATATATATTAATGTTTGTCTAATAGTGTCTATGTGATGTGATCCTATATATATATGATGCATTATTGCTATATGAATGATTGTAATAGTAGTACTTTCTATTTATATATCATAACGAATAAAAGCATAAATCTATTACTAATATAAAAAAGCATAAGCTCATTAATATTCTTATGTTCCGTGTAATGAATATATAAATAAATAAATTAAAAGTCAAAAAAGAAGAGAAAGCCCCCTAAAAGTTTAATGTGATTACAAGAAACAAGGACTCTCTAAGGAAAACATTTTGGCCATTCCTGATTTCATCAGAAAAGTGTGGAGATAACGATTAAAGCCAAGAAAGTGGTTTCAGGTTTCAGGATTTAATCTTCAACATTTCAATAAGGTTGGAATTATAGCTCAAGAAGCTCTTAAATTTATCCTTTTTTTAAAAGAGAAAAATTACATCTTCACACCTTCTTGGAAATCTTTCTCCCTTTTAAGAATGCAAGATTTCCATTCAACTCATAAAACAGCAAATTGCGAAAAGAAAAAAAAGGATATTCGATAAAAACACATAAATTATGGAATGAGAAGTTACTTAGTTACAAATAACTTGATAAAAAAAAATATCAAACTTATGTATGAAAAAACACCAATAACATTTTAACTAAGATAGCTCAAGAGGAGATGTTTAATTTTGATAACATAATCATTTTGTCATGTGGAACACTGCGTCTCTTTTTTTTTAAGCTCCAACCGAATAGAGTATTAAGTTTTTCCATTTTTAATCATAATATTTAAAATATGTCCTAACTGGTGAATTTGTTCCACCAGTCTCTTTGTAATTTCAATAGTTTTTGGCTACTTTGCTACACAACATTTGCATTTTGTTCTTACATCAACTAGAGTTCTCTATTGTGATAGAACTGCAGCTTTACATATTCAATTTCAACAATTTCAAACATATTAACGACAGTGAGTTAAAATTGCAGTCTGAGCAACTCAAGACCTTAAAATGTGCGGATTGAAAATAATCTAGCTTAGTGTTCTCTCACTAAAACCACGAAGTAACCATTCAGAGTCATAATCTACGATGAAACATATATATCATTCAACAAGAGAAACTGGAGAATGAATAGAAATTCAAACCAAGAAGACAACAAGTTTTGACTGTGACAGCATTACAAACTGCATGTAGCAAGGGAATGAACTGAGTGATACAACAAGGGAATTGCATTTTTATATATAAAGCACTAGAAACGAAAGAATTAAATAAACTGTAACTCTAAGAACATAACATAATAAAATTCTTCAGAATTCAACCCCGGAGATAGTTAGCCAATGCTTTCTTTGGACCAAACCCACAACGTTCTCTAATGCTCCTCCCGGAGAGAAACGGAGCTCTCTCTCCTCCTCCACTAATGGGGCTTACCAATGGCATCGGTGAATAACTCGGAGTCGACGCAGAGAAAGATGGAGTTCTGTACGGAGTTGACGTGCCTGAGAAGGACACAGAGAATAACGATGGAGCAGAAGCAGAAAGCCTCTTCCTTAGTGATCCTGAGCCACTTGATGATCCTTCTTTAGACAACAATCTCAACTTGTCTGAACAAGTATCATCATGATCATCTTTGCTAATGTCATCCATGTACAACACTTCCTCTATGCGTACACCAATGCTATACGCCAAACTCTCTAACACCCTTGAGTAGCTCTCAAGTATTGACTTTCCTACATCCTGCAAAAAAGTTCCATATCTTTAAGCTTTGTGATCTGATTTTGGTAAAGTTATCAGGTGAAAAGCCAATGAACAAAAACCTTGTTGAATTGGATCTTGCTTGTGTCCAAAGCTGTTTGTCTAAGTCCCGGGAAACGTTGCTTGAGTCGGATCAAAAGGCTCTCTGCTCTCCCTGCAAACACTTCCCTCTTGTCACCATCGTTTTGATTCATCATCATCTCCTTCACTATCATCCCCCACGAGGGTCTTGCGCCTGTGGACCGATACAGAGAAACCAGATGCCTCGAGTGAGCTCTTCGCCTCCAAACGTACATCGACGCTTCTACTCGATTCGCCATCTCTACAACCGCGTGCTCAGACGAAAGATCTATTGTTTCCAGCAAGTAATCCGCTGAGAAGCTATCCGATGTGATGTTTCTGTAAAGAAAATCCCCAAGGCATGATCTCCCGTTCTGCAAACAAAACAGTTTAAGCTCAACAGGAACTGTGATCCAATTCCAAAAATTTGGCTTTTTAAAAAAAAGTTTATTTATTACCTTTGGAAGAGCGTCAAGGTATGACTGTGGAACTTCCATTTCAGCTAAAGCAATGCTGTTGATTGACATACAAGCTTTCAAGATTTGGTTAGTGAAGTCGCGAGTGTGGTCCAGTTTCTTCCTGGATTGCTCGGAAAGTCCATCGGATGGCACACGTGGCAACGGAAGCCACCACTTGTCACCGTCTTCACGGAAAGAGTTGGACCTTGACGATTCCGCAGCTACGATCCCTTGATCAACGTACCAGAACTCTGTTTCTCCAAAACTATCTAATATTTCCTAAACAAGTCAAAAAGAGAACTCTTTTAAGAACTCACATTCACTATTTTGAAACCTGCTCATGAGAACCACATGAAGAGAGTTTAGGTTCTTACAGTAAGCATATTGTCTAGCTTCCGAAGAGCGGGAAGACAAGCAAACAGATCTGATCTAGGTCTGCAATTCATCACCTTAAAATCCACCAAATCATGAATGAAACAGAACACAATTACTCAGTGACGTTATCCAAAATCTACATGATATATTCTCAGTAAAGTTTTAGACTTGAAATTGAACCAAATACCTCAATCTTGCTTCCATCGGGGATGTTCTGAAAGGAAGGCACCAATTCAACAATGTGATCACTAACAGAAAGAAGAACTTCGATTTCTCTTCTCCACATGGTTTTCTTCTCACTAGGCAACGGCTCTAGCCTCCATTGTTGTCCCAGAATCGCAGCTTTCATCGAATGGAATAGAAAAAGTTACTAACATAAACATCAACTAAAGTATAAACAAACATCAAATAAAATATAAACAAACATCAACTAAAGTATGGAACTTTTTTTTAAAAAAAATGTACCATAGAGATTGGTAATGGCGTTTGAGATAGCCAAAGCAGGACAAACTCCTTCACCAGAACCTGACATGTCTTCACCAAGCAGCAATTTCGCCATTCTCTCTTTCAACAACTCAACTTCTACAAAAAAAGAAGAAGAAGAAATTGGTCAAATTTAGCTCCTTTTAGGCGTTTTTTTATGAAACAGAGAGAGATTGATTTCACAAACCTGAAGTCTCTGTTCCGATTCTCTTAAACCCGAAATTGTCGATTTTCGTCGGAGTCTTCTTCTTCATTTTCCCGGAACTCTTCCTCCACGAGCCTTGCCCTAACGGCCATCCAAGGAGCTGAGACTTCGTCGGAGGAGATGACGGCGAAGAAACAGATCTCTCTGCCACTGACGACCTCCCGGAGCTCGATCCATTACCGCAGCTTGAACTGCTAAGACTCGAATCGGTCGTGGACTCGGTCACTGAGTCAATTAAACCAACGATTCGTTTACTCTCACCATATCGTCTCGATCCCTCAAACCCAATACATGTATTCTCCATTTTGCAAAAAAAAGAATGGATTTTATTAGATACCCAGAAAATAAGGAAGGAGAGATCACAAAGAGGAAGAAGAATGGTAGTAGTTGCTGTTGTGGTCCATGAATTCGAGAAATTGTTTTTTTTTTTTCTCTGGTTATTCCAATTGTTTGTGTTGTTTTTTGTTCTGTCTTAAATATTTTGAATTTAACAAAAGGTCACATGCAAATCTTAACGTCTCTCTGTGACTTTTTTTTATATATATTTTAAATGTATTTATTTATTCGTGCATCTTCAAAGTAGCCGTTAGACCTGCCACGTCAGATTTTGGACAAAAGGGTTCCGTGATCTTCCCGCACTCTTTAATTCCAAAACTTAACTATGACTACTTCATCGAATCTCTACAATTTTATTGATTTGGTTGGTTTATTAAAATTTCTCAGGAATGTTTCCCTTAAAATTCTATCTTGCACAACTTTTATTTGGATTGACTATATCATGTACAAATATATGAATATACTACGACAGACTAAATATATTACTATTTTTGTTAACATCGATAAATAGGGAACCGGTATGCATTTTAAGTTCTATCTCACAACCCAACACCCCACATAATTTTCATAACAATGGCTTTGTCTAATAAGCCTCAATGCATATTGATGTTGGTGATCTCATTTTTTACTCTTATTCTTTTTGCACCAGCGTTAGATTTTTCAAGCCATTACCACCACTTCTAGGGTCTAATTAAGAGAGTATATTGCTTTTAGGCTTCACTTGGCTTCCTATATCACCAACGATTTTTGTTTTTAAGAAGAAGAATCATGCATTCAACGTTACATTAATATTTAGTCACCCCTTCAAATATATTTACATTTTTGTTAACAGTATATATAGGGAACCAATAAATATGCATTTTAAGTTCTATCAAACAACCACACCACACATAATTTACATAACAATGGCTTTCCCCAATGGTCATACTCTTAATGAGGGTCTTATTGATTAATTTATAATATTTAGTGTATTTTATGTATATAAGACACTTTGTAAAATTTTGTTGTTTTTAAGCCTACAATGGAGACACTTTGATGGGTGTTTTAGAAAAAAAAAAATATATATATATATATATATTGTAATAAATTTAAGTAAAATTTATGTTAATAACTCTTAAAACATAATACATTTTTAAGATATAATACATAGAAACATAGAAATTACATAAATGCAATTCAGAAACTCGAAAATACCGTTCAATTATAATCTTCACTTCCGCCAAACTTTTCCCATATACCAAAACTGTTCAAATTATTAAATATAAAAAACATAACATAAATTGTTCAAAACATAACATAAGCAGGTGAAAAAAAATTCAATATTGATACAAATTACAAATCTTAAAACTCAACAAAAGTCATAAAATAACAAAATTCTATAATTTAATTAGAGATTATTCATATTAAAAAAATTATAAAAAATAAAAATTGCTGGTTCAACTGAGTCAACGGGTCACACAGTTACAGGTTACTCGCGGATT